CTCGAGAACATGGAAGAGATTAAGCAATTGCTGGATCGATTCACGACAGTCTTGGATATGAATGTCAACTGGGGGAATAAAACACTTGGATGGTGGATCCACCACCAAGGAGTGCGTCCGCCGGAACAGTCGTGGGTCAAATGACTACCGGAAAACGCCCCGGTCAGAGTATTGGGCATAATGCTGACGACATTGGGGAAGCCGACATCGAATGTCGAATGAATCATCAAACCAGCACTGGAAAAATTGACACGCTGGAATGACAAGCACACATCTTTGATCGGTAGAGCACTGGCAATCAACAACGCGGTCCTAGCAGCCCTCTGGTATAGATTTGCGCTTTGGGCCCTCGATAAAGAACCGGTTAGAACTCTCAAGAGACAAACCACTGCTCTGCTATGGAGAGGCAACAGTGAGCTTCCAAATGCCATAAGTCGGGTGGCATGGTCATCGGTTATTCAACCCAAGGGCAAAGGGGGTTTGGGCATCCTCGACCCAGACACCCACGTGGCCGCGCTAATGGTGCAATGGATCAGAAAACTGGTGTTTACGCCAGACCTTCCCTGGCACACCCTCGCACTAGAACAGATTGCCAAACTGGCACCACAAGCGCCACGAGGAGTGGGCCCCTTGACCCGGCTAGAGGACTGATACTGGCCCATACCACGGCACCCTCGGGTTGACAGAGGCTCCACCAGGGGAGCGACGAGGAGTCACCTGGCCAGAGATGATTCCTGGCCCCGGGTACTGAAGACCTGGCGCCAGCTACAGCTACCAGAAAAACCCACGCCAAACAGATGGGAAAAGGTGATGAGGCAACCCCTCTTTGGCAACAGAAATATCACTCATAGAAATGGCAGCGTACATCGTAGTTCGGACCACCCATGGAGCAGCTGGGTCAAAAACGGCATAGTGAGGATCAAAGATATATGGGACCCGACGAACAAAGATTGGAAAACGGCGCCACAGTTGAGGGTTCAGATGAGGTACTGTCATGATATTGAAAGGAACCTGGAAACACTGATCTTTGACATTCCTCTTAATTGGGTGCGCACTCTTCGCAAAGGACCGCGGCTGGCGGAAGGGGACTGGGTCGCAGCCCTGGACGACACAAAAACCATTGGCAATTTAGTGGAAGTAAGGGCAGATGAAGCCTTGGTCAACCTCTTCCATAAGGGAAAGGACAATATCCTCATCAAGTATACGCCGGACGCAGTGAGGTGGTGGAAGAACGAGGAGTTGCATAGAATCCGTGTACTGAAACACAAAGACAAATGGATAGCATTTTGTCTCGGAACACTCCTTGTTGAACTCCCTTTCGACCCGGAGGAGTGGCGCTGGGCACCCGCACGAAGAACACCAGCCAACCCGACCATATATTTTTTTAGCCTATCAGTGAAGGCCACTTACCGGCTACTGCGGCCAAAGGTGAACCTTGAGGAGATGGTAAAAGCCCGCTGGATAGCCCACCTGAACATAAGCCAGGGGACCGTCCGCCCTATCCGGTGGTTTTCAACCATGAGATCCAAACCGGCCAAATTTGCCTCGCTGCAGTGGCATATTGAGCATCGCTGCTTCCCGACAAATAATTGGCTGATAGATCGCACGTTCCTGGAGCAGAAGGGCCTGGCGCTCCCCTGGTGCAAATCTTGCACTAACGCTTTCCCCTCCCGTAAGATCCCGGAAACCATAGAACACATCTTCCTACAGTGCCCAGGGGCGGTCCTCACTTGGCGCTGCTGGGATAGGATATGGAGCCTCCTGGGCACCGGATCGATTTGGCCGTGGGATTGAAGGGCGCTGCTCTGTGAAGCATGGACCTCCCCCACGGACAGCGATTTTGAAAACAACATGTTCCAGCTCGGGAGGAGAGCGGTTATGTGGCCACTTCGGAGGAAGCGCTGTACATACGCCATTGAGGGAGTTCGCATGGAAGGAGAAGAAGTAACGGAAATAATCAAACAGTATGTACAGCAAGAACTCCTCTCACGATGGCAGAAGGTCAAAAACCAATTACAGACATATCACTCAAAGAAAGATATCACACAAGCAATCAATCAATTCTCAAGGGGCTGGCTGGGTAGCGAAAAAGGGGGTTGGATTGCCCATATCTGATGGGAAGGTGGACAGTCCCCCGGGTAGGAGCAGGGTGACCTCAAGAGAGACTATTGCATCTGCTTCAAGGAATGGACTAATGTGGACCAAGGAGTGCCGTTGCGCTCACCCGCCGAGTTCCCGGACCCGTTCCCTCCCCATCAACTGTCACTCGTGGATATGCAATGGTATGGTGCAGAATAGGCGCAGCCTGGAGTGCTGTAATGCAGTTTGAAGAGCCTTTGGAGGGTTTAGGGGAGTTCTGTGATGCGGACAGACAAGCCTTTTGGAGGGCTTAGGAGTTTTCGTGAAACCCACAGAGATCAACAGTCGCAGTTTGCTCTAGAGATACATGCAATAACTGACAGCCACACAGCTGAGAGGAGCAACCAGCGACGGATTAGACATACAAAGCCATACAAAGGACTAGCTACATGCAGGGGTGAGGGGTGGTACATCCTTCCTTCTGGAAGTAATCAATGCCGTCCACTCGGGCCTCCGAACCATAATGGGGAGGAGCGTGGGGTGAGTCAACCTTGTACTTTCCATTGACTTGCCGGGGGAATAGGAACCGGACTGTTGCTCCCCAGAATGGTAGGAGCCAGAACCAAGAGGTTCTGAAATTATAAAAAAAAATATAAAAAAAATATAAAAAATCAGATAATCATACAGCTTCACAACCATTTGATTTCACCAACACCATAAAAAATACGTGTTCCCTCTACGCGTTTTGACTTGTGCGTACCCAAGTCTCTTTAGGAGGACCAAATATCACCCATCAAAATGGAGATGCCTGAAAACCTCCATCTCCTTTATAGCCCATGAATGCATCATCATCTACCATACTCCCTTCCACACTTTCACCTATCCTTACTTCCTTCCTCTTACCATGTACCCTCTGTCCACTGCTCTATTCCATACCTGATCCTTCCGATCTTTCGCTTCTCCATATGTCTTCATGTCCCCATCTCGCATCACCACATGCTCCACACCCTCCAAAGATGAGTGTCCGATGCAGCAGCCCACATGTGCAAAGAGGAGGGGACCAGACTGCACGATAGTGATATATCCGTACTCTGGACTCAAGCTGGCTTCGGTGTCCATTTTTCCACACAACATCTGTACCAGGCGGCTTGCGCCCAGAGCTGTACCACAAACCGCCACGAGTTCGTTGGGACTTTGAAGTGCCCCAAAACCAGCTCCAATTACGCTGCATTCATACACAATTCGCCGTACAAACTTCCCAACTTTTTTCCTGAACCAGGCCCCAGTCTGTTTGTCAGGATCATAGTGCTCCCTGGCGGGGTCCATGCCCAAAACATATGTTCTAACACCCGGCCTCCCTACTGTACACCTTTACAGTTGGGCCATACAGTCACTTACTCGTCCTCGTACACTCGTAAACAGTGGCCCCCCAAGAAAAGCCCATAGGGTCAGATGTCGGCAAGGCTCCCATTTTTTGTTTTTTTTCCAAATATTTCTTCCTGTCTAAGCCTGCTAAGTTGTGCTAACCCATATGCACAGGCTATGAATCGTCAAAATATGCAGGAGAATTGAAGCATAATTGATGAAAAATTGCTGAAAAATTACTGAAAATTTGCTGAAAATTTGCTGAAAATTTGCCGAAAGTTTGCCGAGAACAGGAGGAAATTGAAGAGAGCAAGAGAAAATTGTCGGGTTAAAAACGAGATCCTCAAGAAAGAATGAGGCCTAAATACTTCAAGAAGAACATTGTTCCTTGTGCAGCAGCCTATCCATCCTACAGTTCATCATGGATGCCATGTAACCCCCTACACACCTAAGCATCAGGTGAGGGTAGACCTGGGAAATCAAAGATCTCCAGGGACCACCCACCACCTTTGCAAACCTTGCCAAGGATGCGAAGAAGAAGAAGAAGGAGAAGGAGGAGGAGGAGGAGGAAGAGGAGGAGGAGAAGAAGAAGAAGAAGCAGGAGGAGGATGAGAAGGAGAAGAAGAAGAAGAAGAAGAAGAAGAAGAAGAAGAAGAAGAAGAAGAAGAAGAACTTACCTTTGGCTATGATGGACCTACATCTTCATCTTCCTGGTTGGCGCTGCATCAAGAAGGTCCCCACTGGGGTACCGGTTGGACATGGACTTCATAACAGAGCTGGAAAGAAGAGGAATGATAGTAGTTGCAATGGTCCATTGAACATCCGTGCTTGGCAAGGATGCTCCTCCATAGCTATTAGCTATACCAAGTGGAGTGGAGTGGAGTGGAGGGGGAGAAGTGCACGAAAGGAGAGCTCTTTCTACACTGGCAGTAAAGGGGGCCATTCGGACATTGATTCTTGTTCACTCATTCATTATTATCGCAACTCTTCATTAACGAATAGTTGGCTGTGAGGTAGTGCACACGGCGAAGAATAGGGACATTCCATGCCCATATTTTTTAGGAACCCTTCATTTTGTTAACTTGGAATTCTCTTTTGTCTTGCACACAAGGGATGAGACGGAATTTTTTTAAGTCTGTAATGATGTCTGTGGTAGATCTTTCATCAAGATTAGAATTCAAACCAAGCAAAAAAAAAGGTTCCTTCACCAGAATATTACCCAGACTTCTCATCACCGTCGTCATCAGTATGTTTACTATGTTATTTAAAAAAAAAAAAAAAAAATTTGCTTCACCAGGCTCAAGTATTATTCATCAGACTTCTTATTACTATATTCGTTTATTTCAGAAAAAGCAGAGGAAGCGGAAAAAAAGAAGAAAAAAAAAGAAGTCCTTCACCATTGCGAGCAGTGCCAATCACCAGAAGAAGTTTATTAACCAGACTGCCTCTCACTCTCACTGTCCTTGCAGGAAGAAGCCTCTCAGGAGATCAACTATGGACTGGGAGGACCCTACCGCCAGATTCTGGTCGAGCTTGGCGTCTATCGGGAGCTATGCTTGCTGCTCTGTATCCCTCCATCGGGGTCCCAACTGCACGGATCTATGCTGACGGAACTGTGTTGTGCAACTTTAATGTTGCTGTCTACAGTTTCTGACCCTAAGGTCGACGAGGTACATGTGGCTCTTCTTTAACCAACCAACCAACCATACGTGCAACCGCACTGGGCACCACGTGGGGTGCGACGCGGCACTTTCCCATGAACCGTACCAGCAGCAGTTTTTTTTCTTTTTTTTTTTGCTGTTTTTGTAGATGCCAAAGAGTGCACCACCTAAGGAACGGATCCTTTTCAAGTACAGTCGTGCATATTTTTATTTTTTTGCAAATTAAAAAAAAAAAGGTGTCCGGGACATCAGTCTTGGGCTTCTTGACTCTTGGCCATTAGGTGGCGAGTCCGGCGACATTAGTCTCTCACTCCTTTTTTCTTTTCTTCCCATCCATCAAATGGGGTGCAGGTGACCACTGAATCAGGCCTGTGACCATTTCATTTTTCTGGGTGCCTATTTTCCCTGTGTGCCAGACCCTGTGGGTTGCCGTGCGTGCTGTACGTCCGCAATTTTCCCCACGGCGTGCTCTTGCATGTCTGCAACCAACCAACCAACCAACCAACCAACCAACCAACCAACCAACCAACCAACCACCCAAACAAACAAACAAAGAGACAACCAAACAAACAACCAAACAAAAACAAACAAAAAAAGGTACACGTCGCTCTAGTGCTAAACCGGCCCTCCGAAAAAAGCTTGGGCCAAACTTTGATGTTGATGTCAACGGTTTGTTACCTCAAGAAGCCAAGCTGGTGCCGCACTCCACACTTCACAAGGAGTGGGACACCTCTTGTCCATAGGAATGAATGTTTCCACACGCACGATTGGGCAACTCATCTTGCGGCTATGAACATTTCTACGCTTACCGAAGAAGTAACATTAGATCAAAGGTTAATAAATAACATGAAACATTGACACTCTGAAAAAACAAGGAAAAAATCAAAATGGAACTCTACGGCTGGCAGTTTCCTGGGTTTAGGGTTTAGGGTTTAGGGTTTACAGTGAAAGAGTATCATATCATGGTTTAGGGTTTGAGGTGTAGGGTTTCATGGTCTCAGGGCTTAGGGTTCACCACCCAGGCTCCACCCCTGTTTCTTTCAGGAAGGAAGGATTCACCCCTGCTCCACCCCTGTTCCTCTCTGCCCGTTTACTTCTCCTGAATCTCCCAACCCTGTGCTTCTCCTCTCAGCCCTACCAGTCAGCCTGATTTCCTTGTGACATCCTGGAGCTGTTACAGATGACCAGTCAAAGAGCTCCCTCCTTTGTCAGCATACATTCCGCGATATGGAGATCCCATGTTTTAAGCTTGATGATCCAGGCGTACCTCTGAGTGTGCCAGCTGAGGTCGGCTTCTTTTTCTTTTCTTTTTTCTTTTTTTGGCCAGCTGAGCTGCGGTTGCCTCTTGCCTGCTGCTCATCAGCCACAATGAAATTTGTGTCTCTCTCTCACAATAGAGTGGGTAAGAGGAGTGCGGGAGGAAAAGGCAAGGGAGAGGAAGGAGTGAAGAAGAGCAAAGGGGGAAGAAGAACAGAGAAGACAGGAGGAAGAGGAGAGGGGGGAGGGGAAAGGAGAAAGGGAAAAGGTGGAAAAGAGAGTGGGTATATTCTGTATCTTCTTGACTTGCCGGGGGTATAGGAATCGGACTGATGCCCTCCAGAATGGAAATGGAGCTGAGCCTGAGCGATTAAACCACCAGTACTTCCTAAAGTCATGCCCGTTCTCAAGCCACGATTTTAGGAAACATACGGGCCACTACAGGAGCGCCCAAATTCATCTGACTAGAAATGTTTCTACTCTATTTTTTTGGGTGGCCGATAGCTGGGCCAATGGTGCTGGGCTGGGCTGAATGTCATGACCAGTATGGCTTCAGTTTTGAACACTGGGTCATCGTTGCAGTGGTAAAGGCATCTGGCTGCTACAGCTGAGGTCACCGGTTCAATTCCGTTTGGCTGCGGATCGATTACTGGGTGGCAATGATAAACCTACCAACAAGCACTGGTGGTTTAATTCGGAACCACTGCAAACCGTCAATTTGTTAGAGTTCCATATTCTGTTGTTAAATGTTGAAACCTTCCTAATCATGATTTGATTATCACAATGTCAGTTGATATCTGTCTCCATTTCATAAAAATTCAGAATCTCAGATCGAAATTTACCTGGCACCTTCTTTTCTGAATCATCCACAGAGTCACAGACTACATCGCTGTAACTTTTGAAAACAATTGTTTTGGAAAGGGGGGACCATTGCGCCCGCCAGGAGAGAAAGGGGTCTCCGGGGAACTGTCCGCTGGTTTACCAGATCTGAACTTCTAGAAACAGCTCCCGGTATAGTCCGGGCCTACGAGAGACAGCAGAGGGGTAAAGGTCCTGCCTTGGACTGAAATTTTCTCGGAGGACCTCGAATTTAGGCCGGCGGGAGTGAAACGGTATTCACCAGTTCGCAGTAGCGAATGCAGATCCCAGGGCTCGATCCCTAGTTCCCCATTTTACCTGTGTACAGTATTGATGTCAACCCGTAGATTTGAACCTGCGACCTGTCGAAACGCCAGTGGTAGGTAGATTGTCGTAGGTCACAGCTTAGAAGGGAATCGAACTGTAGACTTGTAGGGTAGGAGTCTAGACAGTTCCGAAGTCGTAGCTGTAGAAGGGGCAAAGTCGTAGCTGCTACAACACCGAAAGGCCAAGTCAGAGGTTTCTAGAAGTGGCCTTTCGGAGTGAGCCTACGTTGAACAGAGGCAAGTGGTCAAGTGGTGGTAGGCCACCCTGCTGAGTCAACAGTCCCAGTTAGGCAGTCCGGTCCTGTCCAGCAAGTATCGTCTGGGACTGTGTGCACCAAGGGCCAAGGGACATAGGGCAGACCAACGCAGCGCAGAAGTATAAATCAAGAGGCTGCATCCAGCCATTCATTCATTCCTGCGGATGCCATGCGGAAGCGCTGCCTCAGCAGCTTGTGCGAGGAGGTCTGCAGTGCGCCCGAAGACGAAGTGGGCACAGAAGTGTAGTGTAGCGATAGGGTAGTGGCAGCTAGCGCTGCCATAGCTGTAGTAGTGTGTGTGTGTGTTGCGTTTGAACACAGAGTGTTGCGTGTGGGACATCCAGGGTGATCCCGAGTGTGAACAGTGAGTGTTGAGGCGCACAGTCGCCATAGCCAGTGGATGCGAACTGTTACTTGGAAGCCATATCTCTGAGTTCCGTGTGGGCGCATGTCGCCAGTTGTTGTTCTGCTGTTCACGTGCATGCAGAGTGTGAATAAGTCGAGTCTGATTGCAGTTGTTATCTCCGATAGGTCGTGAGTCCTGTCCCAAAGCTAGCTGGCATTTAGAGCAGTCTAGGAGGCAATGACTCCATTCATTCTTTTTTTTTTTTTTTCCATTTATGTGTGTCATCCTTGTGCAATGGCCATCCTAATCTTCTCTGTATCGCTCCAATTTTAACGGATGTCCCAAAGAACGCCGAGGAGGCATTCTAAAATATAACGCTTCCTTCTTCACATATAGAGCAAAAGTTCATTTAGCTTGCTCCTTCTTTCCTTACTCCTGCGTTTGTTCAAACACTCATTCACTGGCAATGCAACCGTCTTCATCTGAATAGAATCAATAGATTCAATGGAATGCACAGTCAGTCCGCGCTATCTAGCCTGCAAGTTGCCCCAAATACAGCTAAAAGGACCAGACTAGGCATTCTATTCGGGTGAAGGCGGTCGGTAGGCGATGAGCCACTGCATGACATGCATTGGGTCAGGTTTTCGAGTCTAGGATTTTAGGTTTTAGGTTTTAGGTTTTAGGTTTGAAGGTTTAAGGTTTAGGGTTTTAGGGTTTAGGATTTTAGGGTTTAGGGTACTAGGGTTTAGGGTACTAGGGTTTAGGGTTTAGAGTTTACTGGCTTTAGTTTGTCGTACACTGGAAAATTACAGCTCATGGCGCTAGACTCCAAAACAGAGATGCAATTAAATCGCCTGTACTTCGCCTAGCCATTGTTCTCCGACGCAGCCGTTAATGTGCCGCAAGTTCCTCGGTTCGGCCTACTAGAGCAAAATCGCTGGCGACACGCCTGTTCATTTTTCTTTTGGAGCGCAGGGCGTTTCCAGGCTCAGAAAAATGTTGGCCAACAGTACTGGTGGTTCAGATGGGATCAGATTTTGAGGCTTCCAGGAAAGATGGAGTAGCAAATATAACACATCAGGGACGACCGGGACCGTGGTACTCTTGTTGGTACCTAAAGATAAGATCTGGCAGTTATGACGATTGAGAGGGTATCAATACAGACTTTATGGTTGACACTAGTAAGCAGTCTCGCAGAATGGGACAGGGGTCGAGTGACCTTTCGACAATGGATTTTGAGGCTTCCTAAAATCGAGGGATTGATTGGTCGAGGGACCGTGCGACAACGACATTGGTTGCTTTCTTTCCTGGAAGCCTCAAAGTCGGAATCGAGGGACCCTTGCAACAACAAATTTTGAGGCTTTCTGGAAGAGAGCAATAAATGCCACTGTCGCAAGGTCCCTCAACCAAAACAGAGGGAAGCGCCGTGTGGGGCTCATTGATGGAACGGATGCTGGACCCAGTTTCCAGCTTCGATATCTAGGTATCATGGTCAACAAAGACGGTGTGTGGCCGGGAATGGGTCAGGGCCTAATTGCCAAAGCAATAACCCGCCTGGCCCCGTGCAAGAATGCACAGGCATCGCTGATCAGGAGGGCACTACTAATAAACACAACTATCTTTCTACATTATGGTACATGGCATCTATCTGGTCTTTCCCAGATATTGATCTCCAAACTATAAAGGCCAGAGCAGGATGCTACCTATGGACAAGCGACCCCAACCGAACCTCATGCATAGATAAGGTAGCATGGAGTCATATCATTAGGAAGCCGCAAGAGAGAGGCCTAGGCCTAATCGACCCCAAACAAGAGTCAACAACACTGCAAATGAAATGGATCGTCAAGATCCTGACTAGACAGTACCTACCATGGACCAAGATGGCCCTGGACAACATAAGAAACCTAGCACCGAGAAGCTCTCCACCTAACATGATTGACTACTTCTGGATTACGGCAAAGGAGT